GGTTTTTGTGTTTTTTGGGAGGTTTTTTTTTTTTTTTTTTTTTTTTTTTTTTTTTTTTTTTTTTTTTTTTTTTTTTTTTTTTGTGTGTGTGTGTGTGTGTGTGTGTGTAATTTTTAGTTCTCTCTGTATTTTAAATAGTAACCCTCTGCCGGATATACAGCTGTAAAATTATTTTCTCATTCTGTAGGAGGCTTTTCACTCCAATGATTGTGTCCTTTGCTGTATAGAAGCAGTTCAGTTTCACGAGGTCCCATTTGCCAATTTTTGTAACTTTTTTTTTCAGTTCAAACTCATTTCCTTTTTATTAAAGTCCAAGTTATCAATACATAGTTTGACACTCAAAGGAAAATTAGTTCAAATGAAACATTTCCAGGTGACTGTTTTCATCAAGAAGTAACAGGGATAAGTCCTTAGGAGTCCATCAAGGGGAGTTTACACTTTGTTGAGGCCCAATTCCTCTGGAGTGGAGATTACCAGTTCATTTAAAGATGGTCTAAGTTCCTGGAAATCATAGGATTAGCTTTCCTTATCAGATCTTGCTTTGTCTTAGCAACCTCTAGAATGAGAAAAGCAGCAACAAAACCATTTAAAAGTTGGCATGCCTGCAAAGCACCATTGATGATTTTGGGCTCAGGGACCAGATCACAGCCAACATGTTCATCCCTTTATGCAATTTCCAGGCATCTATGTCTGGATTGTTAAAGTATGTCACCCAGCTAGCATCAAACTCCTCATCTGTCTCCTGTGAGCCATGAGAATAGCAGTGAGCTGGCTGGGCAGTGGCTGCAGGGTGGGGGCCGAGGCAGGGTACAGGAAGCCTCATGGCACTTCGGCTGTGGTGCAGTGACAGAAGATAGACAGATGAAGACAGCAGCACACTGGTTGAGGCTGGAGAGAACTGTTGGAACTTTTAACTATACATATTTAGAGTAAGGAAATGGTCAAAACATAATTAATAGCTTCAAATAAGTTTTTATGTTTTTCATTTCTTTTATTGGAAAATGCTAGTGCTCAGGGATGCTTGTATCTATTTCAATCAATTGGTTTTTATTCATTAAAATGCTTCAATCATCACTTTGGCCATTAGAGCACCTTCTAGAAGAGATGTTGCTCATTTCATCCCACTTCTACTAGACTTTCTGCTGTTGTGTGTCTGGGACTCATCTTTCCTTTCTCTTCCACATTGGATTGATAGTATCTCCAAGGAACTGTGGTTTCACTTAGTAAAACTATATATACCTTGAAGATAGAGCCAATAGGATTTCTTTGAAAATGTTCAAAGTAGCCTGTCAAAGAAAGAGAGTATGATGTGGCTCTAAGGTCGTTTTGTCCAGAGCATCTAAAGTAGCAGAGTGCAAGGATACTGTTGAAAAGAGAAAACGTGCGAGCTCATCTTTGGATATATTGCTTTTGAAATTTCAATTATGTCTAAAAAGATGCCTAGGAGGTAATTAGATATAGAAGTCTGGAATTTATTGGTTGAAATTAAGTAATTATCATCCTATAGATGAAATTAAAGCCATGAGGCTAGATGAGCTCACAGAGAGAGTTTAGACAGAGAAAATAATTAAGGACTGAATCCCCAAATTAAAAGACTTAGAAGCAGCAGCAGCAGCAGCAGCAGCAAATTTGTATGTTTTACTAGCACTCTTAAATAATGTGCCACAGAATAATCTATGTAGTTTGAGTTCCAGTAGAATGCCATGATAGTGTCTAATGATGGTGCTTCTCTCCTTCTAGGTGAAGGGCTTTCAGAGAGAACAGTAGAGATCATCCTTTCAGTCACTTTGTGTATCCTTTCAATAATCCTTCTTGGAACAGCTATTTTTGCATTTGCAAGGTAAGAGTTATTTGTGTCCACATTCCCAGAATGCTTTATGTATCAGCCATAGTCCAATAAAGAAAAACTGAAGCCATGGCAGTTATACATATAAGAACCATTAATTTTATTTTTCTTAAAGTGACAAAAATACCCCAACACATCTGTAGTATGCTTTATGTTTTGTTTTGTTTGTTTTTATTTTTGAGACAGGTTCTCCCTATAGCCCCAGTTGGCCTGGAACTTGCTGTGTAGACCAGGATAGCTTGGACCTTCCAGAGATTTGCTGCCTCTGCCTCCCAAGTGCTGGGATTAAAGGCATGTGCCATCTGGCTTACTTCACATTTTGAAGTATACGTACATTATGGATTGACCTGAATAATAATCCATTGTGTAAATATACCATACTTTCACTATCCATTCATCAGTTGGTGGAGATTTAGGTGGTTTTCATGTTTTGACTATATTGAATATGTTAGCAATGAGCATAGATAAATAGGTATCTTGATAGTAGGATACAGAGTCCTTTTGGTATATGCCCAAGAGTGGTATGGCTGAATCACATGGGAGATCCATTTATAGCTTTTTGAGGAACTCCACACTGATTTCCACAATAACTGCACCTATTTACACTTCCACCAACTCTGAATAAGTGTTCCACTTTCCCCATATCCTCATTTGTCATTGTTTGATTTTGAGGTCTTAGCCATTCTGACAGATAAGATGACATCTCAAAGTAGTTTTAATTTGTATTTTCCTGATGGCTAAAGATGTAGAACATTTAAAAAATAATTTCTCAGCCATTTGTGTGCCATCATTTTTGAGAACTCTCTGTTTAATTCCCTGCCCTAACTTTATATTCGGTTGTTTGGGTTTCTTTGTGAATAATTTTTAGTTTTCTGTATATTCTAGATCTAGATAGCAACTCTCCGCCAGATATACAGCTGTAAAATTATTTTCTCATTCTGTAGGAGGCTTTTCACTCCAGTGATTATGTCCTTTGCTGTACAGCAGCAGTTCAGTTTCACGCGGTCCCATTTATCAATTGTTTCAACTTTTTTTTTCAGTTCAAACTCATTTCCCTTTTATTAAAGTCCAAGTTACCATTACATGGTTTGATACTCAGAGGAAAATTAGTTCAAATGCAACATTTCCAGGTGACTGTTTTAATCAAGAAATAACAGGGATAAGTCCTTAGGAGTCCATCAAGGGGAGTTTATACTTTGTCGAGGCCCAATTCCTCTGGAGTGTAGATTACCAGTTCATTTAAGGATGGTCGCATTATCACAACACCAGCATTTGTTGTCTGTAACAAGTCAGCTGAAGTTCATAGTGTTGCTTCTAAATCCCTGGAACATTAAGAACACCATGTTTGCATGACCCCAAGAAGACAGGACGGCTTTCTTCAGCTTTTCTATTTCCACCTCTAGACTGCTCCTTATCATCTTTTCCTCTTCTAAATCTTTGCATAGTTTTTCTATTTCTCTCCTGTGATCCTTTTTCATTTCTCTCCCGTACATCTACAATACACAATAATTTAACAATCTGGGCTGTAGTTCGTACAGTGAATCATTTTTTCCCATCATTTACTTCCACTTTTGCTTTCATTTCTAATGGAGTTGGGAAAGCAGATGTATTTATCTTAGAAGCACTTGAAAGTGTTGAAAGAAATGGCTTGGAGAGTAGCTTTCCTTTTCAAGCTCAGATGGCTTTAGGTTGGCACTATCTTCTTCTTTTGGTAACTGCAAGTTTTTTTCTTGGCTTTGAGTTGGAAAATGTCCACCATTGAAGCGGCCAGGCAGCCTTCTTCCAGTCATCTTGGGTCTATTTGCAGTGAGGTGTAACAAGTTCTGAGAAGAAGCTATTCATCAAAATTTAGAATACCTGTTTATTTAGAGATCTTTGCTGCAAATGCATCAAGGTCTACTGATTTTAGTCTAAGAGGCAATTGTTCAGAATCCAGCTTTGATTTTGATACTGACTCCATTTCAAATTTTGATGTAATTGTGGAAACGTCCCCATTAATTTTGGCTGCAGGAGATGGAGGAGGGACTGGTTTCTCAGGTCAGTTTGTGTATACTGATCCAGGAGACCTCGGTAGTTATTGGTTTTTCTAGGTGGAGTAGGCTTTTTGGGTGGGACTTGAGGAACAGCTGGTTTAGAAGGTTTCTGTTCCAGTACTGGCTTTTCATCTTTTTCTTCAGGCTTTAGAGGAAAAACTTTGTTCTCTGCTGCTAATAGGTCCAACTTTGGAGCTGGACCCTTAGCTGGAGGAGGTGGTTTCTTTGGTTTTGGAAAGTCTTTATCCAGTTCACTTAACTGAACAGGAAAATTATCTGGAAACACTCCTTCCTACCATTGAGTTCACCCTTTAACCAGCCTGCTTCGCCAGTCTCCGTACTTACCAAATGGATTATGGTCCCTTCTTTAAAAGCAAGGTCTTCTTCATTGGTACCTTCATAGGCAAATAATATTCTACAATATTCCTTAGCTTTAATTTTGCCATCAATGTCTGTTTTTGTTATCTCCACATTTGGAGTTTTAGATCCTAGTGATTCTATGACTAAGGACTTGTCTGTTTTTTTCTCTTCTGTTTCACTACTGGATGTTCTTGTCCTGTTTCACAGAGCTGCCTTTAAAACTATCTCCAAATCCAATTCCTGGAATTTCCTTGTGTTGTGTAACTGATCCAGGACTGGTTTCACTCCCATTCCCTGGAGATGGTAAAGGTGAGGTAGGCCCAGTCAAAGGAGTTCTCTTCATTAATATCAATGGCATCCCCTACTTTCGGCTGTTGTTCATCCTCATTCTGTGGAAGGTACTCAAAAGGAACTTTACACTGGCGCTTTTTTGTCTTCTTAAGATTTTTGGTTTGTGGGTGTGGCTGAATTCCTCCAGCTGGAAGTCCATAAGTGCTCATTCACTGTACAAGGCTTGCTACATTTCCATGCCTTTCCTGTTTGATAGGTAAATTGTCATCCCTGGGTTCTGTCTCTCGCTTAATTTCCTTAACAAAGTTATCGGGGAAAATTCCTCTTCTCCCATTTAGCTCTCCTTCTAGCAATTCTTATTCCTGGAGCTTTTTCACATTCCTGATGATTTCCCCAACTCGAATCATCAATTCATCATCTTGTATAGCATTATAGTAATACTCCACAATATAGTTAACCATGCTGCGGGCTGCGGTGGGGAACAGGTCAGCATGTATGTTAAGTGCACCCATGTCATGCAATACCCATAGAGATCAGAGAGGGCATCGGATTCCCCTGGAACTAGAACTAAGGATTGGTTGTTAGTTACCATGTGGGTGCTGGGATCTGAACCCGGGTCCTCTGTAAGAACTACTGCTCTTACCTGCTGAGCCATGTCTCCAGCCCTATGACTCAGTTTTGAACCAGTGGCTCCTGACTGTAAAATAGAGATGATATTCCTTGTTTGATATTTTCATAAAAATTAAATGAGAAAACTCAAAAATTATTTCATGTCTTTGTCATGTATAAACATGTTTCATTATGCAAAAACAAGTGGGCATAGTGATGTAAGTCTTTAATTCCTGCACTCAGTAGACAGAAGCACATGGAGCTCTGTGAGATCGAGGCCAGTCTGGTCTACATAGTGAGTTCCAGGCCACCTGAGACTACAGGGAGGCCTTGTCTCAAAACAACAACAAAAACAACAAAAACAAGCAAAACAGAAAAGCTTTCATTTTACAAAACAACAAAGTAATGATTTTTAACACTAATATTAGGAACACTCAGCTACTTCATTTTCTTATTATTTTTTGACTAAATGGGGGGGCAACTAGAGAGAGGGAGACTTGTCATATCCTTAGTGTTACTGTGAGCCAGTCAGTCAGGCCTTGACTAACTAAGACTCCTCAAATTTGGAATATCAACCAAGAAACAAAAAGACAGTATAATAGGTAGTGTGGAATTAAAGCAGGAAGTTTATTAGCTATAAAATTAACACATTCTGAGATGTGATTCCAACAAAAAGTTATTTGACCAAATGGCTTCACTTACAAAAGAAAAAAAATAAAAGATGCCTCAACCTAATCTTCCATGTTTCTGTTTTTTTCTATTTTGCCCTATTCTCCTTGTTTCAGAATTAGACAGAAGCAGAAAGAAGGTGGCACATACTCCCCCCGAGATGCAGAAATCATCGACACTAAATTCAAGCTGGATCAGCTAATCACAGTGGCAGACCTAGAACTGAAGGACGAGAAATTAACGCGGTGAGCACACTCCTCTGGTCGAGCAGTGGTCCAGAGGGCCTGGAGCGATGACCCTACCCTGACCTATGCTTGTTGGAAGTGTTTGTGGGGCTCCAATTTACACAGGTCACACAGATCTTCTTTCAAAGGGTGACCTCCGTCTTCTACACACTTCTCACTGGTGTACAGAGACTCACTTAATCTTCTAATATTTTGAGTTCAGTATGAACCTCGGACTATAGTACTGAATCAAGACTTTTTTTTTCCTGAGACAAATATTTTTACACATCAAGCTAACATTTTGTTTCATAATTCTTTCCACATGATAGCTATTCAAAAGTGAATTTTTCCTAGAAGTGTCCACAAATATTTATGTTTAATTTAATTATATTTCTATATAAAGTTTCATGAGAGTCTAAACCGTGTATGAAATTTTATACATAAAATGATTTATAATTTAAAAGCTAAATGTGAAGTAAAAAATATTACCTTTAGAGAGAGAACTGTGTATATACTGAACAAGCGACACTGAACTATAATGTAAATAGCAATTTTCTTAATTTTTGAAAAAGATAATTTTGTATCTTTTTAAAAAAACATTTTATATCATTCAAAATACTGACACATTAAAAACTTGTCTAATAAGATAATTCACCAAAATCTTAATAAAAACCATCATCAGCCTGTCTTGAGTTACATAATGTTTATAAACACATAATAATTATAAAGCACTTGCATAGCCCTCTTGACATTTTTAGAGTTATAATAATTTTTAAAACATGGCATTAAAAATCTTGAACATCTAGAATAGTTAATCGTTGTGATCTCTTCTTATCAAATTTGTTTTTCATCTAATAGACTGATTTTGTTAGCATATTTTTGCCTTCCTAAAAGTGCTTAATATTTCCTGGAGAGGCCAGGCCTATGAGATTAACATTCAGAAATGACACTTGTACAGTATCAGCACATTGTAGGACGTTGGCCTGTGGGATATGAAGAGTTGCTTCTTAACAATTAGATATTGATCTTTTTTTTCTTTTAAAAATATTTTATTTGTTATTTTTATTTTATGTGTATGAGTGTTATGCCTGCAGGTAAGTAAGTGCACCCCTGTTGTGCAATGCCTGCGGAGGACACTGTAAGAGGCTGTCAGATCCCCTGGAACTGGAGTTACAGACAGTTGTTAGCATCATGTGGGTGCTGGGATTCGAACCCGGGTCTTTTGCAAGAACAGTCAGTGTTCTTAACTGCTGAGCCATATAGATATCGATCTTTGTATACATATTCTAATACAATCTGTTCACATCCACAAATGAGTGGTGCACTAAAGACGTATGTGTAAGAAGATTGTATATTACTTAGAACGGGTTTTTTCTTAAGAAAACTATATATAAGAGATAAAATTCCCAGCACAGCCTCACAAAATAAACTGTACTATAGGAATACTGGAGCATTAGCTTATGCCCTGCTCTGTATGGGTCATGCTATGTAGTTTCATCTCTTTCCCGATGAACCAACTGGATTTCAATAATTGCCTCTTCCTCTTTTGTCTACACTTGTGACTTCTTCACAGGCCAGGGCACTGTTCCTTCTGGAAATGCATAAGGGATAATTTCAAATCTCTCAGTGAAATGGATTTGAACGCCTTGAACAATTTAGTGGAACTTTCAGAGTTCATAACAATTCTTTATGACCATTTTTATTTTTTTCTTGAAGAATTTTTATTAAGCTCTAGAGTCCTTAGTTAGCAGACCTCCAGAAATTCAATACGGTAAAGAAAAAAAAATGAGTCAACATGAAGGAAAGTGTTCAAGGTTGTTGTTCCAGACAGCAAAACCTCCACAGTGCGGTCAGTTTCCCAAGCGTGGAGTGTTGTAATTGCACATTCCACTCTTCTTTTCTGAACATTCCACTCGACCCTTACTAGAGACTGTAAAGTTCTGGTTCTGATTTTTTAAATTTTCACAGTGACTACGATGAGAGCTGCAGAGAGGTTTTAAATCATAAAAACTTGGACAAGATCTCTATATTTGTTTATTAGTGGGTATTTACAACTCAAGGGTGACTTTATTTATCTTTGACTCCTTATTTTCCTTCCTCTATGTTTATTTACATATTATATTATTTATTAAAAGCTATATAAGTCAAATGGTATTTTAAGTACATTTTTGTTTTTTCCAATGCCAGAAAATTAGGGTATAATAATTTTAACAGTAGAAAAACTGGAAATATTCATATTCATGTTTTTTAGTTTTCTCATTTGTTTGTTATGATTCTGGAGTTTATGAACATAAAAAGTATTTGTTTGTACTACCAATAGTACATAGGAATATTCTTTGTTGGGTTTATTACACAACTTCATTAAAATAACAATTAAATGTTTTGAAAATTAATTCCTCATTATAGGAATATATGATATATTTTCACACATTTACTGTTAGTAAATTTACTAGTACACTGGACAAGACTAGAAAATTAATAACTAAGGGGCTGGAGAAATGGCTCAGCAGTTAAGAACACTGGTTGTTCTTGCAGAAGACCCAGGTTCAAATTCTAGCACCCACATGGCAGCTAACAACTGTCCATAAATCCAGTTATAGGGGATCTGACAGCCTCTTCTGTCCTCCACAGGCATTGCACAACATAGGTGCACTAACCTACATGCAGACAATACACTCATATACATAAAATAAAAATAATAAATAAAATATTTTGAAAAGAAAATTAATAACTAAAAATAATTAGTGTAATAGTACATTTGCCTGGATCCTCATCTTCAATAGAACTCTAAAAGCCTTTCCAGTTTTTGAGGTGAAGATCTAAATCCATTCGAAGTCAGAAATGTAAGGTTGATTCTGGAAAGGAAGAGTGAAGGAGTTCAAGTTTTCTTCCTAAATTGTTGGATAACTTACATCAAATATCTGTTATCTGCAGGGAAGAACTTCATTTCCTTTAAGTGCACCCAGTTATCATGTGTGCTTTCTACCAGGATTGTGGCTCTACCCTCTTCTAACCTGCTAGACTTTTCATGTTAAAGTGCCTTGCAACTATCGTCAGTTCTATTCAAAAGAGAAAATATTAGAGTATGTCTAATCAATAATTGTAATATTAATTTTAAGGAGTTACCTGACTGACAAAAATAAAGTCAGAGTACTTAGACCTGAGGTTTTCTATTTTGAAATTATTTAACTTTGATATATTCTACCTGTGTCCTTACATTTAAAAACCCATTCTTCAGTTTTTGTCATAATTTTGTCATAATTACAGTCTACTTTGTATCACAAAAGTTTTATACATGTTGAATTTTTAAAATACGTGCTTAATATGTGCTCATAAAGTTATTATTTAAAAGAATCATATGACCGTGCCTGTGGTTCAGGCAAGTCATACTAGTTACTAGAGAGGGCAAGGCAGGAGGATTGCAAGTTCAAGGCTGACTGCATAAAGAACAGATGTTAAGGGCAGCTTTTACAATATAGTGAGATCCTGACTTGAAATGAAAACATAAAAAATAACAAATCACTGGTATATAGCTGAGTGGTAGAGGGATTACCTTTATTGAGGCCAGTTATGCAAAAAATTAATGTTCATTTAATAAGTAAATAAAATTGTATAAATATGGTTTCTAAATTATAGGCTAAAATGTATACAGTGTTGTTGTTTGTATTTGTAAAATTAAGTACTGTTCCATTCTTTTTTCATACACAGAGGTTGATAACACATTAGTTTTTGCTGTTTATGAACAGCTACTGTTTTAATCATTGCATGTGATGATCACACTTAACTCTTTCAGTTCTTTCTATTAGGTGCTCGTCAACATTTTACAGATGAAAAAAAAAGGATGCTTATAGAATTTAAGTGTCTTTGTAGGAGGGATAATAACTAATAAGAAGGAGACCCAGTTGTGTCTGAATATGTGTTATCTAGAGATACAAAGGTCTGTGTGAATGTGTGCATTCGATTTAAATCTGAGGCAAAACACAGGCAATCAAAATAACTTCAAAATGGATAAGGATTGATGCTATTTTTCCTTGAAGCATTTTCTATATTGAGGAATGATTCTAAGGAAGGATATTTTATTTTACTTGGGACAAGAAAACAAAGATGTCATTTTAGTGATTTAATAATAAAGTTGCAGAAACTGGAAAACAGAAGAACAATTTTTTTTGGCTTTAATAAGAATCTAGTATCTTTAACTGACATAAGAAACTACGTAAAATAGTTTGCATGTAGATTGTCATCATTGTTTGACAGATCCTTGTCCAATTAATTTCACTTCAGTCCTAAGTTGGAACTATCATTGTAAGCAATAACAAAAATATGTGATACAATTTCAATGCAATAAATACCTTGTAAGTAGCATGAAGTTTAAGATCAAATGCTCATGTTCCTATAGCAGTAAATAGAAAATAACGTGGTGTTGTACACTAAATAAATGAATCTTTACTTCCAGATACTCTTCATTTTTCTTTAGACGAAAGGAGATTTTTGTCATCCAGTAAGTTGTGTAGTAATGCAGAGCTCTGCTGTGATTATATTAGTCTTGTCAGGTGGTGTGCTGTATGTTTAAAATATATGACATTGAACATTTGATTTCTTAATATGTTATCCTTTATAAAGCTAAAAGAAAAGAAAACACTTTCTCCTTGCGATGTGTCTTCTGTAAGATTGCATGCTGTTGATACAGTAAAGTTCATCTGCTCAAAATGCACATTGACTTATAATGTGCATGCCATGAGAGTGTGTTGTGGTCTTATATTGTGGTGGTTTTGGTCATAAATCAATTTGTCATATAGATTTCTTCACAGGCTTCTCACTCTATTGTACTATGATATAAGAGTTGAACTCTCCATCTGATAACGGTGAATATATTTCACACAAGCTCATTTTTTTCAAATACAGGGTAATCTGTAAGCATTAAAGCAATGGCCTTTCTTTTTCTGTGTTCTCTGAGTCTCCCTTTCATGGAACTTTAATTGTGTACTGACCTCTGGGTAGTCAACAGTGTGTGCTTCCAGGAT